TATAAACAAAAACTATAACAATATGACTACTGAATTTCGTGACTGAAAATACAGGATTTGCAAAAAATAATTATTCCAATAATAATATAAACACATTGCCTGATGAAGTGTTCAGTCTATGACCGTATTGCTTCATTTATCTGAATTTTGAGATTTGTCGAGACAGTTTGAACATAAGATTTTGACATGCCTCAGACACAAAAATGTTTCACATGTAATACAATAATATTTTGTTTTTCTGTCATTGTGACACTCAGAACACCTTTTTCTGGTCCCATCCAGCTACTTCACGACGTCTTTGTTGCACGTTGGTTGGTACATTTACTGCCAGAGAGCGGCGTTTACAATGGTCGTCTACCAACGATAGGGCGATGGCTTTTAGGAACTTTCGTCTCAACAACTTTGAATCAGGATTATTGGCACTATGTTATATTCGAGCATTGATCCCAGCTACGTTCATGAGAGCATACAAAATTACCATAAGTCATCTTCTCGTTTCGCGCGCGACATTAAAGTTCAACGATAATAAGTCTACTGTATCGACCCCACCTTTCGTTGAATTATAAAATGTGATGATTTCTGATTAATATTTGTCAGCTGAAGTAGGATCGATGCTGTCATCATGATGAAGGCTGGAGGCAAGTATAACGTTTTTTTCCTTTTTTTTTGGGATGTAGGACACCAAAGTGATATTTTTTTGATATCCAAACATGCTAGACATAACTGGCCTGTTTTTCACGCTCAGAAACTCGATCGGAAGTTCTCGTTTGTTCTTTCGAATATTACCAACATAAGTCAATTTATGATCGCGTAATAAAGCATCGATGAGTTTGATACTTGTGAACCACTTATCGCAAGTGAGGTTGCGGCCTGTTTTGGATATAGACTCAATCTTCTGGTTGTTGCCCAACATATACTTTTAAATTCTGTGTGTAGAACATTTTCGAATCTACTGAAGATAACATTTTCAAACATTTGCTGGGAATATATTGTCGGAAACCACATCTTCCTCTGAACCCCAACAGCATTTCATCTATGGTTGTGTACTCACTGAGAGTATAGTTGTTTTTGCAATTGTTTACAAATGATTCAAATATGGACCTTATCGGTGCTAATTTGTCAGAAACTTTCCGAGTTGCCAAATCATCAAACCGTATGCATCTCAAGATGAACAAGAATCGTTGTTGTGACATAGTGAGCCAAAATATTTCCACTCCGCATCCTTTTCTGTCCCACATAACCTCGAAATTGAGCCGATTACTCTTCAATATACCAGACATATATAAAAGTCCAAGTAAAGCCCGAATTTCTCTTTTATCAGTGGGACGAACTGAACGTTCCCTCATGAAATTCACTGATACAGTCTCTATGAATTTATTCATCTCCTCCACAATAATATTCAATATATCATCAGAAAAAAAAAGCTCCCCACATTCGATTGGAGATTTAGCTTGTTTAGCTGAAGGTCTCACACCAGGAAGATGAAGGGCTTTATTTTCTGATCTAGTGCGTACGTTTCTACGCGGTACATTTTTGTCCCAGGCAGTTTTATCATCTTTCGCTAGATCTCTTAATTCTGATAATCAGTCTATTTTTGCTTCAATCTCCTCACGACCGGCATTTTCCCTCCTAAAACTAATCAGTTCTTCTCTTCCTTCCCTACTTTTTTAGGTATCCGTATTTTCCTTTCTCGCCTCGATTTCAACTTCTGATTAATCGTGGTCATCACCAACCACTTCATCTTCTGAAAATGCGTCTTCCAGTAAACGTAGTAGTCGTGCCTGCTTCTTTTCATATTCCGTAATTGACAATTCTAGCTAAAATATCATATCATCATTTGATTATCAAATCATCGATAGAATTCGCACCACAAACTATATAATCTACAAACACGTCACTTTCTAGAATCTTCGCAGCTAAAGGATACTTTGCTCCTTCATCTTTCACCAGCTGCAGAATTGTTCGAATTGCTAAATACGGGCTAGATGCTACATCATACGTAACTGTGTTCAAGTTATACTCACAAATTTTTTCTGATGTGGAGAACCTCCACAGAATTCTCTGAAAATCCCTATGAGACTCACACACTAATATCTGACGATACATTTGACATATATGTCAGCTGTTATAACCACCTTATGACTCCTGAAAATCGAAAGAATACTTAAAATGTCCTGCTGTAGAGTAGGACCAACTAACAAATTATCATTCAATGATAATGCACACGGACGTTTTCGTCGTAGCGTCGAAGACAACCCGCAACTTGGTAGATTCACTTTCTGGACGGATCACCGCATGATGAGGGATATAATATTCATTTGAAGAACTGATATCGACATCAACAACTTCGTCCACAATCGTCATGTGACCCTGATGAATATAATCCTCCATAAATTCGCCATAAACCTGATACAACTCAGTATTTTTTATCAACCGTGCTTCTAAATTTAAAAACCTGCGCAATGCCTGTCCATAAGAATCTCCTAATTCCCCTGACTTTTCTTTAAAAGGTTATGACACTACATATCTGCCATCTTCATGACGATATACTGACTTAACAAACTTCTCACAAAACACGTTTTCTGCAAAGGGAGGGACCTCTGTTAGAATTTCTCCCAATTCCCAGAAACCTCTCATGATATTTTCTAATGAAGATTCTTTTACCATTGTACAACAGCTTTTAACACTACCACTAACACTAGCATTAGCTTCA